ATACACACACATACCTATATAGAAATATTTGGCATTATGTATAATTAGAAAAAAATTATAGCTAGCATATCTTAATTTAATAAAATTTTACAAGAAAATTAAACAAGACTTATTTAATTTACTTATTCTAATCATGTAATTATGTATAATTTGTTCAAATTATTACATTTATATAAAACAATGATGGAAATGTTTAGCATTTGTTAATATACTGTTCTGAAATTTTATTTTTTTTTATTGCTTTAGCTATCTATTTTTGAAATCATAGAAGTGAATTTATTGCAAAGTATTTTATTTACCTTTGACTATCAGAATTTATGAAGATAGAGATATTCATATTGCTTTATAGACCCAACTTAGTAATCAATTTTGAAGTGTATTTCATTTATTAAATGATGCATATAATGTTTTCTGTAAATTTATTTCTTCAATGTTTCCTTGCATTATTTCATTTATGTTTAAAAACAATCATTATTATTTTGTTGTGTAGCAAAAGTTTTACATTATGATTGTCTTAGGTAATATTTCTTAATTTTATTATTTACAACATTGTATAAATATATACAGTCAAATCCTGTTATATGTTTTGCAAGTGAACTGAGAAAAGCATAGTGGTAGTTTGAATTGCTTTTAGAGGGAATTTAGTCAACATAAAAGTACAGCATAGTACAAATTAACACTGTACAACTGAATTTGTATATGAATTCTGAACAGAACAACATATAAAATGAAAAGTAAACTGGACAGTTGTCTACTTTTATTGAAACTTCAGTCATGTGAAAGAATGAAGAGTCATTCTAAAGATTAGTTCATACTGGCAGCAAATAGTGAAAATGAATGACAAACTAGAAAGTGATTTTTATTTCCTTACTGAAATTGGTTCAACACTTCCAAACATGGAAAATGAAATTTTTCAACCTGTTGGACTGAAAGAACAATTTGCTAAATGAGAAAATTCATTGGAAACAACTCACAAGTTATATATTACAGTGGTGCTTTGTACTTCAAATTTAATTCATTCTAGAAGGCCATTTGAACTATGAATCTTTTAAAGTCGAATCAGTTTTTCCCATTTGAAATAATGGAAAGTGACTTAATCCATTTCCAGACCCTAAATAATACCCATTTTGATAAATTATGTATATTTGCAGTTTTAAGTTTAAGATAAAAGTAACACAACTACAACTAAACAACGATCTACAATTAACCATTAACTGGCATGAAATTCTTTAAAAATCGGCAAACATTTTCGATTCCCCTCCTGGGATCTTCTTCAGGCTTATTTTTATACCTTCCTTTATAACTGGATTCTTTAATTCAAATGTTTTTAAAAATTTGAAACATGCCACTTTCCGAAAAAAATTTTCGAAAGTGGAAGGAATCCACGTGCTATTTCAAATATAATTTTCTACCACTGTAGATTCGTTGTGTGCAATACCTCATATAAATTTATTGTATAACATATATTATGATTTATTGTCAATTAAAAATTGCCATGCTGCAGAGAGATTTATTTCTTCTTTGAAATTAATGCATGTGGATTTGCAATCGGCTTTAAAGATTTCCACTGCCTCCAAAGTTCTTAGTTGCCCCTGGTGTTGGATGGTGTGGATAATGTGCACTTCATCGAAGATAGATGTGATGCCTGGGTTTGTTGCATATGTAGATAGGGCTGTCGTACATTTATTATGTGCAATGTTGGATTTATGCTCTTTTAATCGTGTGGCCAATGAACGTTTGGTGGATCTGATATACACTAAAGGCCTATCCCATCTGTTATCTTTTAATGGGATACTGTATATTCCTGGAAGCCTGTTTGGGTCAGAATTGTCCTTCCTGTTCCTTAATAAACTGTAAATGGTTGGGTTTCTTTTGTATGCAATCTTAATTCCCTTTACTTTTACAATTTTTTGTACATTGCCTTTAGATGCAGGTTATATGTTATTGGTACCCTCTCTATGTTATCCTCATTTCCATTATTTTGTACTTCTACCAGATTCTGTAAATGCTGGTGCTGCTTACACAATCCATTTATAATGTTGCTGTAACCATACTCTTTAGCGATCTTTCTAATGTAACTTAATTCTTGCTGGAGGGCTTGTGCGGGGAATGTGTATAGGCTCTTTCTACTAATTCTCTAAACACTGCTATCTTATAAGAAAATGGGTCACATGATTCTTATGGTATATATGTTGATACCGCTGTAGGTTTTCTGTAGACATAAGTTTGTACCACCCTTTCTTTCATTTCTATGACTATATCCAAGAAGTGTACTTTATCCATACTATGTTGTTCCATTTCCACTACAAGGCTATATGGTTGTTGTTCATTGTTTCCATAAAATGTTCTATATCTGGCTCAGTTTTCCAAAGGATAATTATATCGTCGATATATCTTCCGTACAGGATAATATTTGGTAGAAATGAGGGAAGGACTTTCCTTTCTAATATTCTAATCACCATTTTGCATAAATCTCCAGATAATGGACTTCTCATTGGCACACACCTTCTCTGCACATATATAGTGCTCTTGAATTGGAATAAGGAATTGTAATAAGCCAGATGTGCTAACTCGAGTATACTGCGGTGCAATGTGATGTTGTCTATGTTAGAAAGAAGGAAGTCCCTGAGCGCATAAAAACATGGTTGAATTTTTATTAATGGGTACAAGGATCTAAAATCCAATATCGTTGTGCAATTGGGAATGCCTATCTTCTTAAGTTCATTGGCCACAAGATTAAAAGAGCATAAATCCAACATTGCACATAATAAATGTACAACGGCCCTATCTATGTATGCAATAAACCCGGGCATCACATCTATCTTCGATGAAGCGCACATTATCCGCACCACCCAACACCAGGGGCAACTAAGAACTTTGGAGGCAGTGGAAATCTTTAAAGCTGATTGCAAATCCGCATGCATTAATTTCAAAGAAGAAATAAATCTCTCTGCAGCATGGCAATTTTTAATTGATGATAAATCATAATATATGTTATACGATAAATTTATATGAGGTATTGCACACAACGAATCCACATTGGTAGAAAATTATATTTGAAATAGCACGTGGATTCCTTCCACTTTCAAAAAATTTTTTCGGAAAGTGGCATGTTTCAAATTTTTAGAAACATTTGAATTAAAGAATCCAGTTATAAAGGAAGGTATAAAAATAAGCCTGAAGATGATTCCAGGAGGGGAATCGAAAACGTTCGCTGATTTTTAAAGAATTTCATGCCAGTTAATGGTTAATTGTAGATTGTTGTTTAGTTGAAGTATATACAACCCGGTGTGGTGAGAAACTACAGTAACACAACTAAATAATATACATAGATATTATAAAATGAAATAAAAATTGCATTTACTGGTTTCACCCCATCAACTTTGGCATCTTAAACATGGTTGCCATATCCTCCCCAACCCTTTATGCTTTATGGTAAGTTCCGTTTTCATCTCAATCGTGGATATTACAACCTTCCTCTTAGACTTTGTTGCTTCTGCACATTTTTCAGATGCCATGGTTAATAATTAAAGGTTATATTGGGTTGAACAGAAAGTTTTTGCCTACTCTTAAAAGCTGTTCCTTACTTAATTAACATAGATTTGTGTTAAATTTTGCAACTTATTGCACATTATTGCAATTTTGCAATAATGTGTTAAATTTTGCAACTTATAATTAAATCACAAATCTATGTTAATTAAGTAAGTTGCAAAATTTAACACATTATTGCTATTGTGAGATTTTATTTCACATTTTGTTTAAAAGAAACTATCTATCCAAAGACATTTCAACTTCGTATTTTTTTGTTTAGTTTGTTAGGCATATTATGCTTTATGAGTTTCGGGAAGGATATAAAACATACAGAGTGCCCAAGAGCTATAAAGAAAAATTGCAGGAAGAAATTGTTAAAAATTGAAAATTAACACACAATATAATTAACCAAACACACCAAAAATTCTTTGTAAACAATTTGAAAAAAAAAAAAAATCACTGAAAACACACAAGTGTAATGCATGACACAACTTGGGTGCATAACAGATGGCATTTACTTAACATGCACATGCAGTTCAAACTTTGAGAAAATTTTGTTTCAGAATTCTAATGAAGCTTCAACATTAATGTTTGAAGTCCAAGGTAACACTGTATTTGCTCTGCTTTTTGCATTTGTATAATTTTCTGTCAGTGTGGAATAACCTTAAGACAATTTTAGCAAGAATGCAAATTATGTATTATTTTAATAGTTGCTTAAAGTAACATTAATCAAATTTTTAAGGAATCTACTAATATAAATGCTTATTATAAACATTTTAGTGCAATTTTTAGACTTTTGTACAAAAATATTTACTTTTTTTTAATGGAAGTTGTAAATTTGTTATAATTATTGAGCTGATTAATTTGTGTGTTAATTTATGTATGTATTCAAGATAATGTTTTATTGAAGACAAAGTTTCCCTATAACTCTGATTGATAATCACTTACAATTTTTCCATTTTGAAGTGAATAATGTGTACAAAACAATGCTATAGATACCAAAAAGTATCATGTATAAGTGGAAAAACTTAACTGAAGTCTTTTATAATGGAGAAATACCATGCAGAATATTTTTAGCAACATACAACTAAGAAACACTGTAAGGTTTGACTATAAATCAAAAACTTCAACTTATGAAGTGATTTTGAAATTCACTAAAAAATTTCATTCAAAAGAAACTGAATTGAAATCTAAAATTTGAAAGAATTTCTGTTTATAATCTATTTTATCTGAAAGTAAAGAAAAAAGTTAAATATGGTCTTTTGTATAGAATTGGAAAAGTTACTTTAGGATAAAAATAAATTTGAAATATTAAATTTTGCATTTACAGGAAAAAAGTACAAATTGTAATATTTTGATAAGAACATATATTTAATTATATTAAATAATGCATTTTGTTGTGAAATAAAAAGATTAAAATTTTTGTTTTCAATAAATTAAAATTTTTATAAAAATTTTTATGTTTTAAGAAAGAATTTGTCGACCACAAATGAGTTACCTGCTGCAAACGATGTAATAGAAGTAGATACTGCAGGTGAAGGTCTGGATTTATGTCCCAATGAAGAAGAAATTAATAGCTTGATGAAAGAATCATATGTAGACAAAAAACCAGAGGTAAGAATCAATTTTATTGTTTGTATTTCAGAAATAAAATATTGACAACTAATACACACAATTTCTAATCATTGTTCATGCACATTTTTAAAAATATTTGAATGAAATAACATTTGAAATATCATAGTAAAATGGATCATTAAAAGCTAATCTGTTACTATATCATAAACAAGAAAATATTAGTAAAATTGACACTACAAAAAATCTACACTTACAAGGAAAGTCTGCAATCCATACATGAAATACATGCAATAAGCTCCTGAAACATCATTTATTTGTTTTGGATGAAAATGAAATTCATTTTTGCACCTGGTCCTCCAAGTGCCAAAAAAATGACCTCAAAATTCACAACACACACAACCATCTCACTCTATTTAGCCAGCTTTCCTTTTGGTGAAGTTGTAACGAGAGCATGTGTTTTCCTCCCTTCTACCTCTGGTAACTGAGGTTCAAATCTGATTTACAGATGATAAACCTATAACTTTTTTTACATTTGCTGACCTATTTTTTATGTATATGGGTGTGTTATTTATAACATATTGTGCTGATTTTCAATAACATTTCAAGAAATTTCTGTTAACAAAAATTCTACAGTTTTGGTGACTATTTGATTTGATTTAGCACTCCTAATTATGTAATATAAGAATTTTAACACTTGAAAATTATAATATAGAAGTGTATAACTTTCACTCCTTTGATTTTCTGGAAGAGGAATTGGTACAAGCGTCGTCCCAGAAGTATCTGACCTGACATATAGATGGCAGTAGTTTTTAAAAAAGAATTATTTTTTATTCGAAAGCATCAACCTTATAAAGCTTAACAAGGTAGTGTCTTCAAACTTCAGTATTTGTTTGACAGCCATCAATAGTGAACAATCTCAGTGAATGTGTAAGCATGGAAAAAATTGGTCATTGTTATGTGATACAATACTTTCATTTGAAAGATTTCAGTCCAACCAATATTAAAGCTGAGCTAGATTCTACTCTGGGTGAGTCTGCTCCCTTGTTTACAACAATAAAATATTGGGTGGCAAAGTTTATTTATGGTTTTGACTCCCTTGTAGGTGAATTTCCTGTTGTTGGACTGAAATTTTTAAATTGCAGACCTATAGATTTCCACTGTAATCTGTAATTTGTTTAATCTAGAGAACAGAGTTAGATGAAAATTGTGACCAGATACAGGAAGTTTATTTTTAAATTAAAATACAATTAAAAATTGCAGTTCATAATGGATATAAAATAAGTAAAAGAGAGAAATCAGAATATTTGATTTGGAAGTCTCAAAACTGCATTGAGTATCCAAATTAAAACCTATAGCCACTGAGCAATAAAATGTTATGTTGTGATAATATTCAGTTATATAGATTTGAGAGTGAATTGCTCAGCTTCTCTACAGTAAATAGGTAAATTCAACAAGTTGGCTTCTAAACAGCATACAAATAATTCTCTCAGAATGAAAAATTATCTGTTTTCATGATATAAGTTTAATTGATCTTAAATTCCTAGGAGAGAGTAATAATAACTCTGGCAAGACAAATGCCTTAGGCATTTCAGGGTAAAACCAGAAAGGCAAATGAATGACTACAGTATATGAAAGAGTTTTTTGTCTTCTTAAAGATGACATTAGGAAGGTTAAACAAAAGTTGTCAGATCAAGTTAAAAGTAGATATCATGTATCTACTTTCATTCATGGATAATCTCTGGGTGATCCATTTTTTTATTTATCATCATTATTGCTAAGTATTTTAATAATCATTATTTACAATTCAATTTGAGAATTTTATCATCAGGGGTCACTGCAAGTAAAAATTCACTAACTGACTACATATATAGGAATCAGAGTTTCCAATTTTCAGGGGTTGATTTATCTAACCGCCAAACACCTGAAGTAATTCTGAATATCTCTGAAATATCTTCCAAATATTTCATTTGAAAGAAAATTGTTTTCTTGGGTAGTGTGTAAAATTTCAAGATTTTCTGTAATGCAGGTGCCAAAATATAAGCAATTAAAAATGCAAAAATTGCCAAAAAAGCTGTATTTTCTCTTTTTTTCTTCATTCAGCATTGAAGACATTTGTAGAGAGAAAAATGACTGGGTCTAGAAAGCTCAAATTTTAAACTTAAGCCTTTCTCATTATCAGTGAAGAGGTGCTCATGAAACTTCTGGGTCAGTAGATCAAAATTCATGGGGTTTACCCATAGAGCTAATTCAGTTTTATGGCTGAATTTCATTCAAAATATTACTAAGAATTACAAAAGCTCAAATTTATGCAAATTAAAACTTTCGATATGCCAGTTAGAAAAATCATTATTAAAAGTGTTGGTTGGGATGCTTTCAATTGGTGGTGTGTTCGGTTGATGCCGACTGAATCATAGTCAATCTGTGATAGTCAAAATTGATTATTTGTTACAGTATTAGTTTTTATTGTTCACTTCAAAAAGTGGAAAAGCAACCATTATTGTAAATAGGGTTATTTTTGGGAGTTGTGAAGATAATTTAACATTTGGTTTAACAAACTGTGGTAAAATTTCGGTTTGCTTTATCATATGAAAATTAACATTGTGACAATGACATTTTGCCAGGGCACAGTAATGAATGAGTACAGTTGATTTAACAGTAAAAATTTGCTTTAACACAGAAATTCATTTTATCAGTGTGTTTTAAAGCAAGTCATTGTATACAGCTTTATAATTTCTAAATTGAACCCTGGAAAGGCATGGAACATTCAATGAAAACTAACAAAACTATAAATAATTGGAAATTAATGGTTTCTATTGCCTCATTTATTTATTTTATGCCATAAATATAACTACTTATACTCTTGTGAGGCCCCAGAAATAGCCCCCCAAAAGAAAGATATGTAAAAATTTATTAAGTTAAATCATCAAGAAAACAAATTATATGTGTCGAATCGGTGACACCGGACTTTGACATCAACGCTCATAAAAAATAACGGAAAAAACAAAATTTTAGATATAGAAAAAGAAAATTTAAAATATTAAAGTTAAGACGCAGTTTAGAAAGCAAAACACAACTAGAAAAAAAATATCAAAATGAGCATAGATGTCATAGTCAACAATTAAATGTGATCAAAGTCTAAAAGATGGTGTCGGATAAACCATCTCCAGCCGACCTTTCCCGTGAACTTTACAAAGCTCCATTTACACCTGGAGACAGGTGGAAGACCAATTAGAAAACGATGATGTAAGGTCTGTCTGATTAGCAAAAAGCCAATCTCGAAAAACTTATAAAAACACCAATTCCAAGGACAACGGGGCTTCTAACAAGACTTTTGTGTTCGTGTATCTCCGTTTTTTTTCTTTACCTCTGTTCATCTTTTGTGTACTGTCTTCAAGACATCGAACATTTTACTCAACGCTGGTGCAGAGCACTGCCGAAAACTCCTATGACGCAGGACCAGATCTAATCCAAAGACATCTTAAAATTTGGAATCTAAGGACCTTTCCAACAAAAAAAAATTATGTAAGCATTTTCGATCAAGAATAAACGGTTTGCCTCTGTAAAACACTTGTCTCTTGCTGCCTCTCAAAATTGCCACCCACATACGCTTAGACCTTAGATCATCCCGACGGTAGGGAATAAAATATCCCCCCCCAATCAGCGTTCTTACACTCTCTGGAAATGCAGTAAACTTCTGAGCACTTCTTGATTATTTGCAGTGCATTGGTATCAATAAGTAGAATATATACAAGCTACGTGAAATTCAAGCAAACTTTCAGTACTAATGAAATAAGTTTTGTTTTACTAATAATTTAAGTTAATAATAATAATAAATATAATTGAAAAATAACTAAAATATTACACAACATTAACTAACTAATAATTAATAGAAGAATTATATAATATTACTACTATTGTCAAGTGAGATACAACATAACAGGATCAGGGATTTGTAGATAAACCTTAATGCTTAGAACAAGTACAAGGCAAGTCTAAACTGAGCATGTCCTTGAACTCCAAATGATTTTTTAAGTTAAAAAAAAATTAATACTTCTCTTGCAAGATGTCTGTTCTTATTATTTTTTTTTAAGTAATGAATATATTAGAAAATCATTTTAAAACTGGAATTTACACTAATCATTTTATCATTATTAACTTCTTTGTATGACAGGAAATTCAGGGGACAAAATAATCAAGACTTTGTAAATCTCGGATAATTCAAAACTTGATACTTCATTCTGTACAATATGCCAAGTGCCATATAACTGATATAATTTATTAAAGAAATGGAATACATCTACATATGATATACAGAATGCTACTTTCATTAATAATGTCATTTATTAATTCTTATAAATAATAATAATAATGATGATGAATTATACAGTAACTATTAAAAAAATTTTGTATGTTCCTTTCTTGCATTCCATTTTAGAACTCTCAGACCTGAAGATGATCTATACAGATCAAAAATGTTAGTCTGTCATTTAATTGAGTGTGTAGTGGCTTTTTTCTCACTGGAAGAAAGAAAGAATCAAGTATGGACTGCTTTGTTGTCTGTTTGTATTGTTTATGTGCAAAGGCACATAGCTTCTCAAGGGCAAGATGAATATCCTTGCTAGCACTCATACATAGCATAATCTTCAAGCATTATATCAATTGTGCATAGAGTGCAAAAATTTCCTTTGACATGATTTTCTGGTAGTCTTTGTTCTTGCTACTGTGTACTTTGAGCATTTGTGCTGGTACTGTAGCTGCATCCAGGTTTGGTATTGTCTCATTAAAGTTGATGTCATCAATTGTTGCAATATTGTTATCCACACTCACATAATAGGGAGGTTGTGGCTGAAGTTTTCTACATGAAAACATGAACTTCAGACGTTCAGCGCCGCCTTCCTGTAAGCCTAGAAGTTTGACATTGGCATTTGAAACATCAGTGGAATCATGCTCGATGTTCCAAATGCCATTGTCAAACTTCTAGGCTTACAGGAAGACAGCGCTGAACGTCTGAAAGTTCATGCTTTTTGCACTGAAAATTTCAGCTGCAACCTCGCTAATCTGGGAAGTTCATGACATAGTTGATGTTTTTGTTAAGGCTTTCCATTAAGGTGGCACTTCAAGGTCTCCAGCATCTGCATGCTGTTGAACAAAACCTGGATTTTGCAAAACAGTTTCTGATACTTTTGGCTGGAATTTCTTGTCAGTTGGTCACAACATTCTGTAGAGCATCCAAGACATTCTATTTTCTTTTTTTTTTTCAGTGGGTACACTTTGAGAAATCTCTCCACACATGAACTGTACATCAAATGCATCCTGTACCCAGCTTTCAGTTATGAAATTATGCCTTGATCTAAGGCAGTGTTTCTCAATGGGGGTGATATCACCCCCATGTGGGCATTTTTCCATGTTGAGGCTATACCTGGCATGTTGAGGCATTATTCCATGTTGAGGATATAATGTTTACTATATCTGGGCGATAATAGTAAAACATTATATTAAGAATAATTAGATATTTTATTCATTATATTGTACAATAATTAAACAAATAACATTATACTAGTCACTAGTCTATTCAATGCAGTACAAATTTGGCGTTAGCCTTGTCCCTCGGCATCGGAATTTTGTAGTGAGGGGTGCGATACTATGTTGAAGGGGGCGACGATTTGTTAGAGGTTGAGAAACACTGATCTAAGGACTGGATAACATGGACAGTGTTTGTTGATAAAAAAAGCACCTGAACATTAGGAAGGTATAGACCTTTGATATTGTAGGACAATATTCAATCCATTAGCAATTCCATTTTTGCATTGCCATTTTGTTTTGAAAGCATAGCAGTCAGTCTCAAAATATCTTTGCAGTCAACCAACATTTTTTATTTAAGTCGTAGGGATAAGGAAACTGCAGTTATCCTTGTATAACAATCTGCCTCATGTAATGAGAGTTGGCAAATTTGCCAGTTATTACAGACAGAAATTTCTCTGTGCCATCTACTCTGCAACACAGCATGACTGCCATAATGGCAAATGCAACAAGGAGATGATCACAGTTTCTCCTTCCAGTGCTAAATTTTTCAATAGCATCAAATTGTAGTATACACCTGTCTCATCTACATTGAAGATGTCATATTCAGCATATTCTTGTAGTATTGGATAAACAGTTTCTAGCCATGATTTGGCTAGAAACTGTTTATTCAATCAGTGAACACTAGTACTGCCATGATTTGGCAGTATTTGTGTTCACTGATGAAAAATTTACTTCAGGCATTCAGAGATATGATATTGTGGCAGACTTAAAATTGGCACAATCATCTGTTTGAAAATTTGAAATCATCGATTCCCATGCATGATCTTTTTTTCTTTGATCAGAGGTCCTAGCAGGAATATTTTTTGCACACACATCAGAAAATCACTGGAAAAGAGCATCTTCTAGTTTTTCATATTTAGCAGTTCACAGACGTTTTTGTTTGCCAATTTTGTCAGTTTTTTGGCCATGATGACAGCTGAAAAAGAAATATTGAAAGCCCTTGCAGTCTCACTTTTCAAATGTACAGTACATTCTTATCCACCTCCTGGAGAATTCTAGTTTTTTTGCAATCAAGATATCATTTTAGCTTCTCTTGGAACCTTTTCATGATGCCTCTAAGAAAATCACTTTGACAAGCAAAAATATTCACTTCCTGCCCATTCACTATATATTTCTTTGCTGTACAATGGAGATCAGCTAGTTTTAGCAAAATGATATCATGTATTGTACTAACATTGCAGGTAAGAAGAACATATCTGACAACCTGTGATGTTCTCACCAGACAGGTTTTATAAAAAGAAAAGCAAAATTCTCGAAATGTAGTTTAAATTACTTTTAAAGTAGCCGAATCTTGCAAACCTTAAATCCAACCATATTTTATGAGATAAGAGTAGTTAATGGTAAGGTAAGTCATAGCAATCCAGAGTTCGAATTAATGAGGAATCCCTGTATTAGTTTAATAATATAAAGAATTATTCATTGTATTATTTCTTTAAAAGCTATTTTGATATTTCTTTGAATGCTCTGATTCATTACAATATTAATGTAAATTATATATATATATATGACATGATATAGCAAGTATTGAAAGTAACATTATTAACAATTTTAATTTTAATACTAGCAAAAAATGTAATCTTTATCCATATCAGATCTAGAAATGCTGACTATTATTACAATGAAAAAATAATAATAATAATTTTATTATTTATTTTTTACATATTCATGCAGCTTCAAGAAAAAAGTATTCAAGATAGTTCAGATGGTCAAGTGCATATTTCAAGCACAACAGTAACAGTGGAAATGGGAGAAAAGGAATGGTTGAATGCTTTCACTAAGACTCAACTGGAAATTTTAGAATTAGAGATGCGTGCCAGGGCTATTAGATCTTTGATGAAAGCGCAGGGACTACATACTTCCGAAGATGATGAATCTCTTCACAAAATTGATAAGAAAAAGGATTCCACATTCTCATGATCATTCTTCCTTTGAAAATCATTATATTTGAATGCGTGTAAAATTTTGTTTAATAACTGAATTTTGATCAGAATCATTAAATAATTATCTTTACTATCCAACAAAAGTCTTGTTTATCTTATTCAAGCAGAACACTAATTCACATGAATGAATAACTAAAATATGTTTCTTCATTAAGTTTAATTATAGAAGACAAAAGAAATACACACAACTTAATCCCAATATACAAGTGTACCCTATTCCTGAATACTTCTCAGTAAACAAAATCTTATAAATTAGGACAAGTTTATTCCTTATTTCTTAAAGTTGCCCTACTCATGTTCTCCAAACAACATTAAATTGTTACAAAACATTGATTTTCACTAATACAAAATGAGGAAAGTGAATGATAAATTATGTACAGTATACTCTCAATTATCTATGCATGCTTACATCTTGATAAAAGAAATATGTCAGGAATACAAATATTACCATTAAATTTAAAAAATCTACATTGTTAACTAACTCTTGCTATTTAAAATGGTATGTTGAGTGTCAGAACTACTTCCAGAATATCAAGGCATAAATTAAAGGTCTAACAAGTAGTGAGTGAAGTTGATTCTTGAACAATACAATCATACTTACATATGTATTGTACAGTCGAGACCCTATAAGACAGTAGATACATTCCATTCTTTACGAATCCAATTTCTTACGAGTCCTTCCAATCACAGCCCGACACGTGTCAAGTTTACGGACTACGGCTGTTTGAAAGGTTTTCTTCCATAAAATTAATCGATTCTAGACTAATCCGACTCAACATTTCCAAAATACGTATATTTTTTTTTGGAAATAATCCGTATAAACTACGCTATAAACAAAAAATTGTATGATTACTTACCGAGTGTGCACCATTCAAGCTTGTTCAAGCTTGAATGGTGCTCAAGCTTGTTTTCGTCGCGGAACAGCTCAGCAAACTGCAGCCGCGATTTCTGATGTTATTTTTCTGCGAAAACTTTGCTGAACTTTGGAGACATCATTAATATAAATAATTTTTATCGCTGTTGAATAAGATATGTTTCTTTCACAAGAAACGTATAAAATTACAGTGCTGTATTAGACTTATGGTACCTAATTTACATACTGTACAGACGATAGTTCGCCTAAACTCTCTGTAGCGTGGCCCAGGTGGCAGAAAATATATATATAATTATAATAAAGTTACAATAAATTAAGCTAATATATAATTATATATACAATACCTAATTAATATATAATTATATGTACAGTACCTAATTTATGTATAATTTATATATAATACTGTACAGACGATAGTAATCTCTCCGTAGCGTGGCACTTGACGACGGAAAATAGTTCGGCTGTCCGATGACGTTTTACGTAATTATAGGAGTTTTTTACCGTTTTTTATGGATACCGTTGCAATTTTTTCGCTGTCTTATAGGAATCGTAATTATAGGAACCCGTTTTATAGGGGGTCTATTGTATTTTCTTTTCATCATTAAATAAGTTGTAAAATTGTTTGAGGAAAATATTTTGAACCATTTCCTTATCAATAAAGTCATTAATATTGTAAAATTAATGTTGTCTTACAGTGATATTAAGCTGGCAACCACATGTCATTCTTGGTTAATAATACAAGAAATTGATAGTGAATGTCATGCACTAGTTTGGATGTAAACAGAAATTTCATAAGAATAATCAAAGTTTTATTCCACTCTGGTCACATCTAAGCTTATTAATTAATTATTGTTTTCAAAACTATTTTATTCTTAATAAGTAAACTATGAAATTAAAAACTAAATAAAGGAAAAATTGATTAGCTTTCATTAAAACAGACTTGTGGATTATCTGTTTCCACATTATCTGTGCTTTCATTACAGGTATGGATAATTAGGAGTATACTGTATTTTTCATATATCACAGACATTTCTTAATTAAAAAATAATAACAATAATCACCAATACAAGGATCTTTTAGAGATAAAGTTTACTAAACCTCACAACTACATTAGAATGAATAGCACTATCCCTAGCAAATAAATAAATGAAACAATGATAATGGAGATTAAAACCTACAAACCATCTCATTGTACTCAAAATTTATGAAAACAAAGTATTCTATCATTGTCAGCAGTCGTCATATCAAATTTCTTCTCTTAGATTGGGAAGAGGGATAAAAGAAAACAGCTTATTGTATCATATTATTTGTAAATTGGAGTCACATTAATGCATTTAGTAAATTCAAATAGATTTTTAAAATTTTTATGAATGTCCTAACCCCATTATAAATAATTCAAAAATAAAAAAAACAAAATGTTTAATTTCTTAGAAGTTGTTAAAATATTCTCCTGAGATGAAAGCAAATTTCCTAATTTAATGATACTACATCTTTTATTTAGTAGATTTTTAACATTCTGTTCACCTAAAACTGTGTTTGATTTGCAACATTTTTTTTATCTCAATATTTTCATCATAGTTGTCAACTATAGACACATCTCCATATTTAATAAATAAATTGTCTAAGGCCAGGTTTCATTGTAAGACAAGTATCCGTTAAAAATTCCCATATAACTTATAAATTATTTAAACTAATGAGCTATGTTTTAGTTTAGTTCAAATTTCTGTTTAGTATTGATTTGTATGTTTAGATTATGATTTTGCTTTGTAAAAGAATGTATGTTAAGAATAGAATTAGGAAATAACCAAGGAACTGCTCAAATTATAGGACTACATTTACAGAACACTTTTAATGACAAATTATATTTATTATTAATTATTAAATGCCATTTATTACTAAATTTAATAATTACATATTAACAATTAATTAATTTAAAAGAAAAGATTAGTCAGGCATGGCACTGCAAACTGGTAACTAGGTAGTTTTGCTTCCTAACCCAGACATTTGCCAATTTTTCCAACATGTAACTCATTTGATTTGTTTTTATTATTCTTTCCGCCTTTAAAATTCTTTGAATTGTTAATTCTTTCTTCACATTATACTGACATCAACTTAGCAATGCTTGACATGTAGGGTGTCAGAATACTATCTAAAAATAGAACTATGAAAATCTCATTTGACACATTTAAGGGCACAAAGAAATTCTACGGAATGATGCCATCAAGGCTAAACATAGTAAATTTGCATATTTTCCATGAATAATCACTTAAAATCTATTGTACTGTCAGCATAATAAAAGGTTTGTAGAAAATAGGAAATTTTAGTTCATCCACAGAAGGCAGTTTTTATTTAGTAATAAGACTATATATTTTTATATTTGTCTGTTAAGTACAAATATCTGCTAAACAGTTTCCACTAAATCTGAATTCCACTGTATATTGAATCTATTTTTTTAATTTTTTTATTATTGAATTGAATCAGCATTTTATTTTATTGTTAGCACACAAAAAAGAAAGACTATAAGAAAAATATTAGTTTTAGTACAAGTTTTGTACTTAATTATTAGTATTTCAGTGTATAAATTAATTTATTAAAACAAAAACAGGTTAAAATTTTAATATATTCCAAAACAGATCATTTAAGTTGCTATTTTCAAAACTGTTTTTTAATGGTTAAAACTAACAAAAATTATTAAGAATAAAATAGTAATGTGTCTTATAAAACAAATAAAATGAAGTTCAATGCAAAAAAGTTCTTTTATGGCCAAATTTGTTTTAAATTTATGTACTTAAAATCTTTGCTGATCTTTCTGAATTTCCTTTTCTTTTTAATAAGTTTTTAATTTAAACTGAACATAGAAAATATTTGATCAACAAACTGTAGATTGGTTTCAGCAACATGATATACATTTGTATCAAAGAATGCATTATAAAATATAATTTGACACAATAGATCAAACCTTCAAAATATAAAATTCTCATGCTAAATTTTGTTACAGTATATGTTAAAATATTAGTTTTATTACTTATAATAAAACTAATATACAACCATGGAAAGTATTCATCCAGCATTATGTTGTGCATTATAATATTTTAGCCAAGAAAATATATTTTGAGTAAAAACTTTTCAGCAAAGTTTAATCTTTCATGTTATACTACAGGCAGCTTTTTTAAGACAGAGTTAGAGATCAGAAGTCTGAAGCAATATTTAAGAGTCTTGTATATATCTGAAATGACCTTTATAATCACAAAAAGATTTTTCCATGTTGCTACAGGAAAATGAGCATTTTGTAATAATAAATATAATATTGTAGTTAAAACATTTTGTGAAATATTTCAAGATCACTGAAACTTTATATATCCCATCCATCCAACATCATAACATTATTTACTTGTAAAAAGTAAATAAATAAATCTGGCAGATCTTGGATAAATATGAATTTAGAACATACGTGCCCAAGGTAAAAAGCCACATGGATACCAAGCAATGCCATGAACGAATCAAATGAGTTAAGGAGCATCAGAACTTGACCATGGAAGATTGGCAATATATTATTTAAAGTGACAAATGTATCTTTGCCCTTGAATTTGGAGATTGATGAGTACTGTCAAAAAAAGCAGGTTTTTAATGCTGATTGTTTATATAGAAAGTTTAATGAGTACTCTAAAGATGTGTCTAGCTGTACCCAGTGTCAGACTGGTAAGATTTTGGTCCTGGAATATACACCAAATATAAGCCCACACATATATAAAATCGTCCAATGAATGAGACAGTTATGGTGTCAGCTTACTGCTCTAGGGACTTGGGATTGAATCTGGGGGTCAGAAAACCCCAGGAATTTTTCTGAGGTGGTCTATCCCAGATATATTAGAAAATATCTGATGAAAAANTTTAACTTATATATAAATATCAAGTAATAAATTATAAATAAACTATTGGAAAAACTGTTGCAAAATGTTTCCATTTCCATGAAATATGACAATTTTCTTACATTAAATATATTAGTAGTAGTGTATTCATAAATAACTATTTGGATACAAATTTTTCATAATTTACAAAATGAATGTTAAAGTAGTAACAATGCATCGTTCAGACATAATTTCAGGATACAGTATAAAGTTTCTCTATGTCCTTAATTTTTTCTATTTAATTTAGATTCAGACTAACATTGAGAATAGAAACTTTTCAAGGATAGAATGTTTCAAGCATGTAAAGTTTATTTTTTAAGTTTATTCTTTCACTAGCAGACCCCGCCACGCCTTGTTGTGGCTCAAAATGTATCTATTATAAATGTATAACACTTCCCCCCTGAGAGAAAATTTTTCGAAAAATTTCTTCTTAGTGTACATTCTGTTAACATAGCCTATTAAAACGCAATCAAAAACGCAAAAACCCGCATCTAAAATAGTATAATAGAAGCCAAGTTTTTCACAGTAAGCCTTAATCCTGTCCCTCTCCCCCAATGGGGTAATTTCGACATGTATTCGACAGCCTATGTCCACCCTGAGGTTCCATTCTAAATATTGGTGAAAGAATTTTTGAAATCGGATGAGTAGTTTTGGAGATTACCTGCTGCATACAAACTAACATACAAACATTACCTCTTTATTATATTAGTATAGATAACCAGTGAGGTTTGCATTAGTTGTGAAACAACAGATAATATAAAACTGTAGTATTATTCAGGGTTTAAGCTGTCGCTAGTTTTTTTCACTAAAATGTTCCAAGAACTTAGATTTAGCGACAACTTTCTTGCCACATTTCGGTAAAAAGCTAACGTTTTCCAAGTGGTTAATATTGTAATTTTAAAAAAGATGATTTCTGATGAAGCGGGATTTGTTTAAAATATTTGTTGCTCTCATGTGTAAAGATACATATCATTGACTAAAGTTTATAAAATGATAATGAGGGTGATCTGAGAGATCATTTACAACTATCAACAGTTATTGAATTTGTTCTTTCATAACCAGTGCAAACCTCACACTGTTGAGTGTGAAAAGTTTCGATGAGATGACATTAACAAAAACTCCAATTGGAAACTGTCTTGATGTAAAAAATGTCAGCAACTTGCTAAATTTCTCCATAAATGGCTTCCCCAATAACCAAGATAGGAATTTGATTTCTATTCAGCATTTGTTGCCAGGTGTGAATCAAAGCCAAAGAAGAATTGTTCAATAATGTATGATACTTGTGGGTTGTAACAATAGATTTATGGTTATATTGGTAGTGTAATAATGTATAGTATCTATGAGAATAAACAAATGTTTAAACAATAATGCATTGTGAATTGTTCTGGGCAGCCTCACATATGAGAAATGTTAGCTACAGTTTCTAAAATTTTTTTGCAACTTTTTTAGTAAAATTAGCTAATAGGAAATTTTTTCCTAGCTTAAACCATGATTATTGTTATACTACTCCATTAAAATTTAAAAGCTGCACAAAGCCTCCAATTGATGGAAAAAATTATTTAAATATGATTGAGTGTAGGCCCGTTTTGATGCCTTTAGGAATATCGATTTACAAATATATTAAATATAAATTCAATTATTAAAACCAATGGGATCGGTGATAATATTAACACACTAAAAATAAAAAAATTTTAGTTAAAAAACAAGTAAAAATTATACTCTTTCTATTTCCGACTTCGAGGATTCTATGAGCCAAAACAAGACAAACAAATATATTAAGAATATTCTCTCAGAATATACAAATCGAAAAATTAAATAGGAGATTAATTGCAAAATCTTTACAATGACTATTAATTTCCGATAAAATTCAAAAATTATTTTACTGTGTACTGATATAAGTTATTTAAAAACAGTGAAGCTGAAAAAAACGAAATTGTAGTTTTAAAATTTGCATAGTGTTTCTCTACGCTTCTCTCGATCGTTTGAAAATAGAATGCATAGAACTTACGCTGAGGAAGATGTCTCCTAACCTTATTTCAAACTAAATTCTGTTGAAAAAGCTATTTGCAGACGTTATTTTTGAGAAAAAATTTCAAAAACTTCACAACTAACTACGCATAAGAAGAAAATCTTCATTCTTGTTTGATTAAATCAACTTCAGTCCCATTCGTCCCATGGTGTGAAAGGGCATTCCACTAATGCCATATCGGACAATGCTTGCATTTTTCTTTGATATTCTGCCGGAATTCTGTGCAACACAAAGATGTACAGAAAATTGCACACTCTCCACGGTCCGCTAGAAATACTGAATCTGGAACTATGAATGGGCTTCACTCCTCTTCTTCTCAGAACTGTACCCACGAAAGCGTCCTCGTTGGGAAATGGCGCGTAATGGGTGGTCTCGTCGACGAACACGGATAGAACGTCGGCAGACACGATATATCCTATTCCCGAAACGTAATCGGGATAAACGGACGGCGAAAATTGTTCTTTAGATACGTACCATTTGCTTTTGGGATCGCGCACCACTTTGGCTCGGCTCCTTTTGCGCCCCACGTACAGACCCTTATGCATCTTGTTGCTCCGAGATAGAAATTTCAGCAGAAGGGCAACGTTGACGTAACAGTCGTCGTCGGTTTTCAGCAGATACGAAGACTGGCAATAACGATGGGCCCAGCGAGCTCCGTGAATGATTTTCAGAGTGAGATTTCTGTAAGTATCCGCGTAATCTCCTACCACTAAATCACCCGAAGATATCTTTTCGTTTTCTACTAAAATATTAAGAAATTTGCTATCTGTCGACCGCCCCACCAGGAACATGGTAACGGTCGAAAGATTATTTCTCAGCATGCGAAGAGACGATCTTCCCCACGTTCGACGAATGGCCGCACGACGATCGAAATTTTCGGGAGACGAAGCGACTAAAATTAATAAATAGGGGCGAAAACTGCAAACAGGAAGATCAAAGAAAACGTTTTGGTCGTCGACTAGCGAGGAAACTGTGGACATTCGAACGGGATCCGTTTCTAGGACTCCTAAAGTGTTCAAAAAATATCCTCGATCGCTCATTTTCTTGATTTTGACGGCGGTCAAAAATAAACCCAAGCTCAATAGTAACAAAAAGGCACTCCAGATCACTTTTCGATGGAAAAGACATATAATTACAGGCAGCATTATCTACAGAAGACATCCGCGAGACGACGAATCGAATCGGCCAACTTATGAATAATAATAATTCACGGAAATAATATCCTTCATTTTTTTTATATCACGAGACTGAGTTATCGTATAACCTCACCTTCACTAGACAGGTAAATTTCAAACGAGTACAGCGGTATGATTTTTTCTCCAGGTTTATCACGTGACGGAGAAACCTTTCATTTGTACAGATAAACGAACGCAGTTACATTCCTCCGATAGATCGAAATAACGATAACTAATTGCGGCTTTCAAGTGATGGCTCACCAATTATAATGTTTATTATGGTACTTCAAAAAAATCCACAATTACTCATTTTTATATTGTTTATTGGGCGTTTCACACATACTTAGTATCAGAAACTTCTCATAATTTAGAATCCTGCTAAATTCAAATTTAATGTTTATAGATTTAAATTTTAGCTTTGAATTAAATATTAATGTATATTTAATATCATCTTTATATAGCAAAAATCTGATTATAGGCTATGTAAATTTAAATACTTAACTGATTTATTTAACTCCATATTGTATACAGAAACGTGTGCGACCTCAAAATATATGTTATGTGTTTCGTCTTACTGAGCTAAAATGTAATTTATATATCAGAATTTATATTTTTAAAATGTTAAATAATAAAATTTGACAAAAATTCTTCCTTAATAGTCAAGAGATTCAATAGAATAAATAATTTGCATCAATTATTTTGCAGGCATGACAAAATGTAAAACCTGAACAGAGAGTAGATTTAAAGGGGTAAGCAGGGCGCAGCTGTATCTCTTCTGAGAGTTTTCCCGAGTAAAGCCGAGTACCTAGGATAGTAAAAAGTTTTGTACGCTATATTGTTTTCTTTCTGCGCTCTCTCTAAAGTTTTCTGGATCAGCTATCGGCCTGAACCAAATAATCATGTTGGTCTCACTATAATAACGCCTATTTATTTATATGTATGTATGTATGTATGTATGTATGTATGTATGCGTGAGTGAGTGAGTGTATAAATAACATGAAATAAATATGCAAAGTAGATTATTTAATATCGTAATACTACATATATTAAACCAAGCACCATCTTTTCGATTAATTAATTATTTTTTAATATTAGTTCCAACCGGGAACACTTGATTCAATGATGAGTAATTAGAAATAAATGTTACATTTGATCCAGCCGATCGTATTTCAATACAACTTTATCCGGGTCAACTGAAATACCCAGATTAAATTGTAACTTGCTTCGAAGCTCGGATTCTTTCATTCGCATAATAAATTAGTATCGAATATGAATGCTGTAAGTAAATACTAAAAAAGGAAAGGGTTAAACTAAGCATTAGGATCTATTCTGCATTTTTCATTTGAACTTTACCGACTTGTTAATTTAAAAATATGTAAAGTTATTCGAGTAGTTTGAAACACTTTTCATGCTTAGTCATTACTCGGCTTTTTTTTTAGTAGGATAACCTTTCATTTTCTAAGCACCCTAAAAAACTATTTTTTGTTCGTTTGTCTGTATGGACTATATTGTAAATTATTAAAATTCACTTGTACAGTGTAAGTTTATAAAATTCGTCCTGTTTCAAAATGAAAGTCGGACGACTTCCGCGTGAGACATTACGAAAAACCAATCTTTTCCATACCGACACGGAGTTAACAATAGGGGAAATCGGAATTTTATAATACTTTTTAATATAATTACATTATTTAAATTTTATCAATCTTATATTTCTATTAAAACAGAATAATCTAAAACATCTATTTAGGCTATATTTAATAGGGCTGCACAATAAACTAAAATTGCACAATAAACTAAAATTGCACAAGAAAAAAGAAATTTGTTAAAAAACACATTAAAATTAACGGTCGAGGAGGAATTTACAGTACAACCACTCATAAAAAATGTCAATTTTATTAAATAACAACCTCTAAACTTCAAAATGTTTTAAATAAAAATTAAAAGAAGTGTTATAAATAACGCATGTTATAATTTTTTAGAAATTTCTTATAATAAAACTTATACCTTTTTTAAATTTCAAAACTCATAAAATTTCAGAAGGGAGATTATTATTATTGTCTTGGGTGCCGTCTCCAGGAAGACTTTTTATAGGAAATAGGCCTCCTATTTAGGTGTTAAATACAAACATTTTACTGAATTTAACAGATTAGAGATTGTTCTGAAAATAATATCATTGGGTAGCAATTTTCAAAAATTTCAGATCTATAAATTTCCACTGGCGTCCGTTTGTCTGTCTTTCTTAAACTCGAGAACAGAATTAGATAGATGCATGACTATTGTTAACAGGAAAAGTATGATGCACTGTACAGGGACAAGACATTATTAAAATTGAGAGCATTATGATGTCACAATAAATAATAGCTCGTTTCATTTGAAAAATTAAAATTGCCAATAAAAATTAAATAATTAAGCAAGTGCATATGAATATAAATTAAAATACGAACGATTATTTATTGTGAGATCGTCACAATGCCGGGCTGCAATTTTTAATTTATTTCACTTAGAATATAGCCTATGCTCTCCACCTGAAATTAGTAGTATCTTGTCCCTGTACTATACATCAATGTTTCTCAACGGGGCGATATCGCCCCTATGTGGGCGTTTTTCCATGTTGAGGGGCGATTAGTAACAATTTATATTTTGGGGGCGAAAAAATTTTCTGGGCGATATAGTAAAACATTATATTAAGAATAATTAGATATTTTATTCGTTATATCGTACAATAATTAAACAAATAACATTATACTAGTCACTAGTCTATTCAATGCAGTACGAATTTGGCGTTAGTCTTGGCCCTCGGCATCGGTATTTTGTAGTGAAAGGAGCGACGATTCGTTAGAGGTTGAGAAACACTGCTGTACAGTACATCATACGTTTCCTTTAACAATAGAGTCGTGCCGATCATCTATTAACTGCTTTTAAGAGAAAACTTTTGAATTAAAATAACGAGATTTTCAGCGAAAACCGGAAGTTCATATAAATCGGGCCTCCTGCCCCTAAGGTTTCCATATGTTGTCTCGGATTTCATCTACCTAATTCCGTTCTCTAGATTAAGGAAAGACTGATGGACGACAGTGAAAATTTGTAGATCTACAATGTTTTTCAAATTGCAGCCAATTAAAACATAAAAAGTTTATTTAATAAAACAAAACAAAAACTTAAGATACAAGTAAATAATGTCTCGAAATCAACATTCAGAATCATTAAAATTTTTAATTGTGTTGATAATGGGTTCAAGGTTACAATACTTGAGTTTCTGACACAATTAAGCAATAAATCCAGTCCTTACCTAATGAAATTGTTATGAGTATAATTCCATAAATAAACTTAATAATTTCCCATTAGTGTATGGTTATTATACTGTATACTGTACTGAAAAATAGAATCATTTTCAATGATTCTATTTTTCAGTACAGTATATAATAACCATACACTAATTCGATTATCCCGAATCATACGAGATCATTTTAGTATAAAATATTTTTTTATTTGCGTTGTTAGATACGGGCTGCTGAACTAAAGTCCGACAGTTTGTACATTTAACATCCATCCCATTTAAAATATATTTAAAAAATAATAAACAAAAATATAGAATAAAAGTTCACCTTGTAAAAAATTCGAGTTATCCAAAAGAAGAAAAATAAAATATCTTTAACGAGCAAAATCGTTAAATGAATCCTTGTTCATTGAATGATCGATTTATTATAGAAAGAAGGCTCGACAGGATTGTGTAGTAATAAAGTGCATTAAAAGAGCTTTAGTCAAATCTTGGTTGCTTGCTGTTCTCTTTACTGTATCTTTTAGCTCTACCTTTATAAGCCTACACATTAGAACAGTATAACAACATGTGCTGTAGGGTGCGAAATAATTCCTACGAGATGTACAGAAAAACAAGGACTAGAAAGGAGGGAATTCTCGCATCTTTTTAGCCTCTCCTTTCTAGTCCTTGTTTTTCTGTACATCTCGTAGGAATTATTTCGCACCCTACAGCACGTTATACTGTTCTAATGTGTATAAGGATGGAGCTAAAAGAATTTTAGCTCTATTTCCCCCCCATTTTCAACTGTCTTCTCACGAGTCGTGTTGTTTTAATTGTCACTATAATCTCAGGACTGAAGAGGGGCGTTAAGCCCGAAATGCATATCCGTTCCTACCAATAAACCAATCTTTTTCCACTGAAAGTGTTCCTGTGAGATTTGTTCTCAACGGCAACATTATGCTAAGAAAATCCAGCTTTAGTCAAATTTATTATACGATTTCATAATCTGTTATTTTTAATGTTGTTGCAATTGGACTAAATCACAGTTAATAATCTTGATAATTAGAATTGAGAGTAAGTAAAATGAAATCCAGATAAATTGTGAAAATAAGAAAAAAAATTTCTGTTTTAAGTAAACAGAAAATAATTGTTAAGCCAAATGCCAATGAGGAATGGATTATTGAATAATCATTCAATATAGCTAATAAAATAGGACAGATGACGGATACCCGATACAATATGGACTGGATGATAGAACGAGCGATATTTTCTTCTGAAAAACAAAGGCATATTGTTAGAACTGAGACGTAGAAAATTTACATATAACTTGACGAACGTTCTCAGAAGAGAAGATTGTAAGTGGATAAGCAGTGGCGTACCGTAGTGGGGACGGTCCGCCCCGGGTGGCACTTTTTAGGGGGCGGCAAAATTACGTTTTAGGGGCGTCAAATTTTACAATAAATAACATCATCATCATGTAAAAATTTGAAACATCCTAATCTATACTTGCATCGCTCCTACGAGATAGTGCTATCGTGCGGACAGTCCGGGCAGAGCCGTAACTAGGCAGGTGCAACAGGTGCATTCGCACAGGGCCCACTTGGAAGGGGGGGCCCAAACTGCTGTTCACAAGAAATTATAGTTTTAAATCTTAAATTTTTCCTCCTTTTTATTGGCGATTACATTTTGCCTTATTTAGACCCTAGATGTCTGCTGACTTTTAGAGGGACGTATGGAGATAGAGGAGACCGCAGACAAATCAGCCAAAAGTAGCGACTTTTGAAATTTTGTTTATTTATTTTTTGAGAAATTTAAATTTATGTTTGTAGTTTTCAAATTATAGATTTTTCTCTACTTTATAGAGCTCTCTGGCGACGACTAATATTATTACGATATACAAAACTGTATTTCTAGATTTTTCTACAGTGTNAAAAAGTACACACTCTTTAAATTTTTTTTTTATTTCTAAGATTACTATCTTCCAACTTCCTGAACCATAATATTTTCTTTTTTAAGTAGAACTGTTTTCTATATCCTACTTAATATAATTTATCTTCTACAGCAA